TGGATATAGGGGCATTTAGAATATAGGAATGCTCATCTGAGCTGGCCAGAGTATTTACATGGAAATTTGGTAACCCAGCTGGCTGAGGTCTCTGCAAAATATGCTAATTGTCTCCGGCTAGGTGGGACAAGTCCCAGGAATCATATAAACACTCAATAGTGTTCATATATAACACGAGCTGGATCTAATGTCAGGATAACATAAACAGACTAAAATTTTATTAGCTTATAATTAGCGCTCTCCTCGGCAGACATGCTAAAGCCCCTACAATACAATTTCACAATTTACCTCCACGAGCACAGAACACTACTTTGGATCCCTCTTTGACTGCAAAACAACAACAATTAACTGATATTAGGCTGGATTTAAATTAAATGACAATTTTTTGTAGCAAAAGATTAGACTTTATATCAATGATTACATCTTAAAAAAACAGATGCAATGCCCTACCTAGTCTAGTGAATACAACCAAATATGCCAATCCCCAATGCATAAAACAATGACTTAAAACGTATAAAATGCACTGTGGCGTATATACTTGAAGATGATGGCCAATGGGCTATTCCTGTTTTTTATTCACATCATCCCACATTGAGGAACTTGATTTTTACCCCCTCCCCCCTAGCAATTTCCAAAGTTGAAAATGCAGGTCATATGGTTGAAAATCATCCCCTTCCTTTGGAATTCCAAGGTTCCTCAACAGGGGTGTGTGGGATAAAAATTGGAATAGTATCCCGAATTAGTAAAGATACAACACTTGTATAGTACTAAGACCAGGTTAATTGAATTTTTAAGTAAAGTGTTGAGTTAAAGTTTTATTTTGGAGGACAGTAATTAAAAATTGCTATGTCACAGAACATGGATCAGTCATCTATACAGGCAATGATTACAGTAATTGCCTTATCCAGAATTACCCCAGATTTTCAGTATTTTTTCTCCAGAATTAAGGGTCAATCTCAAGAAATTTTCTATCAGATCTCCAGAGTCGTTGCTGTTGGAGGTAATGGCAGGTCTGAATACACCCTTTCGATAATTATGTCATTTGGCCTGGGAGATTGAGCCTTGCTCTTGTGAATCGTGAGCCATATCACCTTGCATAATTCACTAATGAGAGCGAGGCTCCAAGACCAAAAAGTATGTGTGACAGTTTTATCGAAAGGGTGTATTTGTAAAAATAGTAATATTCTGATAGTAGAAAAGGATAAATTTCAAACTTTTCGCTGACCTACTGTACTTATTGAACAAAATTAACTACGTAGCCATGAACACATTAAATTATATCTCCCATCTTGTCAACAGGATGTGTTCACAACAGGCTAGCAGCAAGCTTGTCAACAGGTTGTAACAATAACAATGTTGCTAGTTTGTCGAGTTGCTACAAGGTTGTCCCTCGCACAATTTGTTGAATCGTAAGACAATAACAAGTTGTTGTAACAAGTCTATCGAGTTGAACAACCTTATATAGCAAGTTGTCAACAAGGAATTAACAACTTGTCGATCGACAAGCTGGGTTCAAGCAGTGAGAGCACATCACAATGACAATTGTTATTGAAATGACCTGGTTCCAGTGACTGGGTATCCATTAATTAAATTGTAAAAATTATCATTCTCGTAATAATTGGCATTCTTGCTATTCAATTTTATGAACTATTAAGAGAAATAATAAAGTATCCTGTAGTGTAGCTTAAGGCTATATTCTCTATTGACTCTACAGTATATAGTCGCACTATCGATTTTCTGGTTTGTAATTTCACTACCTAACATTATAAAATTTCAGGGATGGATAAAAGACAATTTTTTCAAAACTTTTTTTTCTTTTATCATTAAAAGACACGTTTTTTCACGTTTTATATAAGTTTTCGATTTGTGATAGTTAATGTTTTATAATATAATTAGCTATATTGTATAAGGTATATTGAACTGTAAAATAAACTATTAAATAAGCTTTTTTTTAAATGAATTTTTCCCTATGTAAATTTTTTTTTTTTATATAAAGATAGATTTCTAATAATAATGTTGGGCTAGGAACCTACCAGAAACCTTTAAATTTACAGGCTTTTTAATTTATAGGCCCCTAGACCCTAGTTAATTGTTCATGTTATGAAAATTTATCAATATAAATGCAGACATTGTTCAAAGAATAAAAAAAAGTTTTAAAATGTATAAGCTATAAAATAAGCTATTAAATAAGCCATTCAATTTTAAACCTATCAACAAAGAATATAAATTCAACGTGTGACGTTCAAATTGTAAACAATACCATTTCCTTCGAACGTACTGATCATTTTCCATAATTTGAACTCGACACGGAAATAAAACCAGACAAATTAATATTTGCGTGCGATCCGCCATACTGCCAACACAGGCGAGCATTTGTATATAATGTGTCTCGCTTTATTACTTTATATGCTGCGCTTTGGTAAAAAATATTTATCTTTGAATCCCCAAGGGCAAGGAAAATACAGAAGTGGCTTCAACTTACCAAATTCACGGACAATTCCTTCACCGATTCCCTTAGAACCGCCAGTAACTATAACTACTTTGTCGTGATATCTCAAACGTGCTTCCATACTCTGTACATATGACTCTGTATTGATGGAAGATTCGAAGTCAAAATGTCAGATAAATAAATAAGTCACGTTTTTGTGGGAAGAGTTTATAATAAAATTAGACTTTTGTAATTTTGTTTACACAGTTAATACACACTGTAATCTAATCTTAATCCTAATCTTAATCCTAATCTTAATTCTAATCTTATCCTAATCTTAATCCTAACCCTTTCTCTAATCCAAATCCTAACCCTAAAAGTCTAACGCCCGTATCACCAATCTCGTTCCCAGAGTATGCCTGTTCGCGGGCTATATAGTGGCATGCAGTGAACTGTAAATAACCTTCACAGTTATTTACAGTGAATAACCTTCTGGTGAATAACCTTCGCCAGGTTATTTACAGTTCACTGAGTGGCATGACACTACATAACCCCTCTCTCCTCCGCAGAGGCTTTAGTTTTCTTAGGATTTAATATTACGATGAGAAACATTTCACTACACTTTACATGGCGGATCTTGGAATACGAGACATAACCCGCGAACAGGCATACTCTGGGAACGAGATTTCCGTATCACAGCATCCCGTACTCTAAAAGCGCACTCACACTAAGGCTATGTGCACACGGGCGTCGTTTTCGAGCGTTTTCAAAAACGTTTTTGTCCCTTTAATCGCTTTGATGCCCTGTTCACGTGGTTCAAAGGAAAATATCTCCAATATATTAAATAAACTACAGCTTCTGTCATAAATTAATAGTTTTCGCATCCGTTTTAGCGTGAAAACACAAATGAAAACGCTCGAAAACGTTACCGTGTGCACGTAGTCTAAGGCAGCGTTTACACTGTACCGTTTTCGTAGCGTTCTCGTATTGTTCGAGAGAACTAGACTATTGTCTTGCGTTCCCTTGAGGATTAAGAACAATACGAGAACGCTACGAAAACGGTACAGTGTAAACGCTGCCTAATAGAATAGATGGTTTCAAAACTCATAAATAGGATAACAATATAACTCATTATCTATGTTAGTCAACGTTTATTCATAAATATGGCCTTCACCGTCATGTGTGAATTGTATTTTTGCCAAATCCACCAATAGCAATTTTCAATTTACCCTATTGTTCTAGTCACGGATATACCACTTTCCTAAAACATTGCTATTGGTGGATTGGGCAAAAATACAATACGATAGATGATGAGTTTATTGGTATTCTAATGATTTCCAAACCATCCATTGATCTGAGCTTCTCTCGAGTGTCATTGCTGTTTTTGAATAGCTAGAGGGCTGGTGTCATATATACCTTACTATGCAGAAGCGCCGGAATATCGATAATTGCGGGGGCAGATATTCATATATTCGTGTTCACAGACTGTAAAAACAATCGATTTCAAAAGAAATTAATTGGGCAGAACACGAATATATGAATATCTGCGCCCACCCCCCACCCCCAATTATCGATTATCGGGAGGTCGCCAAAATTTTTTGATAAAAAACATAAATTTCGGAAGATTTTGAAGTCTTGCTTTAGAGAAGTGCCCTTGCTGTGGGTCCGCCCCCCTTTGCCTTATGATCGTTCCGGCGTCCCTGGATGACGGTAACAGACTTGCTACAAGTACACATATACATACAGGCTGTTCATAGCAACTAACAAGTTGCTACGAGCTTGTTATTATCAAGTGGTTAACAACTTGTTACGTGGAACAACTTGTCGCGAGTCTGTTAGCCTCGTAAACCTTGTTACAAGATGATAACAACTTGTTCCAGACTTGTCAACAACTGGGAACAAGCAGTGCGAACACATCTTGTTGACAAGCTGTCAGATCAAATTTGTCAACAAGCCGTCAATAAGTTGTGTTCGCACTGCTTGTCCCAAGTTGTCAACAAGTTTGGAACAAGCTGTTAACAATTTGTGACAACCTTGTTGATATTGATTATCAGACTTGTTACAAGGTTGTTTCAACAAATCCGATACAATCATGGTATAACAATATTGTTACAACCTTGTGTCGTCAACCTTGTAACATTCTTGTTATATCATGACTGTATCAGACTTGTTAGAACAACCTTGTAACAAATCTGATAGTGCCATCAAGCTTGTTACAAGTTGTTAACAGCTTGTTCCAAACTTGTTACAACAACTGGGAACAAGCAGTGCGAACACAACTTGTCGACAGCTTTTGAACAGATTTGTAACAACTTGTGCGTTTTTACGTGTGTAGACAAGTAAAGACAGTAAAATCGTCTGCCGTTAGACAGAATAAATTCATAAAATAATAAAAACCGCATATATTGCGGTAATGCGTGGTCTTCCACCCCCGCCGCATTCAGAAAGTGCGTCGACCACATGCACCCCCCTGACTACGGTTGCTATGCGACTAATTAGTCTTCTAAATAAATTAAAACCACAAGAGTGTCAGCTTCGGACTTCTACGGGAAAAATCTTCATTTTTTGCAGCAAAATTTGCCGGAAATTAATACGGACAGCCTAATCGCATTAAGTGTATAAATTTCTTGGATTCTGAGGGTCATTGTAGCCGATTTTTGAGCAAAAAATCGCGATTCGTGGCGGTTTAATATGAATTTTTAATTTGCATAGGAGCGATTCAGCCGATTCTAATTCAGGACCTTTCGAGCGACTTCGAATTATTCTGTCTGCCAACGCGAAAACCGCTTCGATCGAGGAGAAATAAAGTCTTCGAGATGCTTTCTCTCAGAGGAATTTATATGTCTGTGTTGTGGGGCAGATTTTATATGTAAGGTAAGTTTATAAGTTGAGCTTTGGTTGCGATTTTTAATATGTGTATATATTAATAATGACAATATATATGTATAATGTATTTGCATTTATCGGGACATCTACTGGTACTTTATGTCTATGAATGTGACTTAATACGGGATTGCTTAAATTTCTGTTCAAAATTCGCAAACTAAACCTTTTAATTTTATACTTGAAATGGAGAAATGTCTTTCTTTGTGCTACTTTAATTAATTTCTCTATATAAATATATCTCAAGTTATTTAGTATCCCTAGTGAATTGTGTTTATTTATTTTTGTATTTGATAGCAGCTGTTATGTATGCAGCCATGTTCTAGTAAGCCAGGATTAGCGCTCAAATTTTCTTACTATGTTGCCAAAGTGTCAACATGTTTTTATGTCAAAACATTTGGGAATATGACTATACATTCCTATCTTCATTCAAAATGGAATCACAAAAGGATCTTTTGACTTTTATGATTGAGTCAGGGTTCTGAGGATCTGGAGTCGACATTAATAGTCACCTTTCCCCTTTTGAGTGAAATTTTGATCTAGACAAGTCTGGACAAAAATTTCATCACAGCTTGAAAGAGCATCACAAAATTAGTAATATTCCGAAGTTTCGTTGTGAAATGTTGTCAAATGCGGATAATGTAGCCTTGCGAAGTTTGCCGTTTTTCAGTCATTTGGTATTATACAAATGGGAAATTGATAATCAGATGATCAAACTGATGCAAAATGTTAGATTGTAATGCAAAATGACTGAAAAACGGCAAACTTTGCAAGGCTATATTATCCGCATTTTACAACATTTCGCAACGAAACTTTGGAATATTACTAATTTTGTGATGCTCTTTCAAGCTGTGATGAAATTGTTGCCCAGGCAACGGTCTATTGTCTTGGATTCCTTTACATATGGTGGAATATGTATAAGTATAACTGTAAATTGTAAAACTTAATTGTCTTCAGGTTACGTATAGACATAACATCAACTGCTACTGCGACCACACCTGTCTAGATATCCCATCGCCATAGTCTTGTAACATGGCCGAAGCTGTCAAAGTTATTGTGCGATGTCGTCCGTTAAACAAACGAGAGACAGACATGAAATGCGAGGTTGTCGTCAAGATGGATTCCTCAATTGGGCAATGTCAGTTATTCAAACCAGGTAAAAGATTCTGTAAATTCTTTAGAAGCGTTCATCAGCTTGGCTAAGCAGTCCATTCATGTGGCAAAACCAGGGACAGACCTGGCCTGATTTGTTTGTGGGGGTGAAAGTTTTCCAGGTGGAGTACATTACTACGGAGGCCTAGGGGTGTCCCACAGAAAATTTTTTTAAATTTGAAGCTCGGAAAAGCCATTTCCTGCATTCTGAGCACTACATGCTTTCGTAGGTAGGGATGTAACTACCTGAAAATATAGAAGGACAATTTTGACTTAGTTTAGATTTCCTTCTGTGGTAAATTAACACACTAACACTGAATCAATAAGAGATATATGATCTTTAGTGGACCCCTAGGCAGAACAGTGTAGAACTGATGGAGTTATCCAGTACCGGCAGTACAAATAAAGTTAGTTTATATAGCTTAGGTTTCCTCCTGTAGTAACACTGGATCAATAATAGATGATCCTTACTGGGCCTCTAGAGAGAACAGTTTAGAGCCGATGGAACTATCCAGTATCAATAAAGTTAGTTTAGGTTTCCTCCTGTAGTAACACTGGATCAATAAGAGATGATCCTTACTGGACCTCTAGGGAGAACAGTTTAGAATTGATGGAACTATCCAGTATAAATAATGTTAGTTTAGTATATGTTTCCTCCTGTAGTAACACTGGATCAATAAGAGATTATCCTTACTGGACCTCTAGGGAGAACAGTTCAGAACTGATAGAGCTATCCAGTATAAATAAACTAAGTTAGTTTAGTTTAGGTTTCCTCCTGTAGTAACGCTGGATAAATAAGAGATGATTCTTACTGGACCTCTAGGAAGAACAGTTTAGAACTGATAGAACTATCCAGTATAAATAAAGTTAGTTTAGTTTAGGTTTCCTCCTGTAGTAACACTGAATAAATAAGAGATGATTCTTACTAGACCTCTAGGAAGAACAGTTTAGAACTGATAGAGCTATCCAGTATAAATAAAGTTAGTTTAGTATAGGTTTCCTCCTGTAGTAACACTGGATCAATAAGAGATTATCCTTGCTGGACCTCTAGGGAGAACAGTTACGAACTGATAGAGCTATCCAGTATAAATAATGTTAGCTTACTTTCTATCAATCTTTGACCGCATCTTTTTTAGGTGAAAAGGAACAGCCCCCAAAATCCTTCACATTCGACGGCGCATACGACACAGATTCGGTAACACAGACAATCTACAATGACATATGTTTCCCGCTAGTGGAAGGTGTATGCGAGGGTTATAACGGCACTGTCTTTGCATACGGTCAGACAGGTTGTGGGAAAAGTTTTAGCATGATGGGAATAACCGATCCGCCTACGCAACGAGGAATTATTCCAAGGGCATTTGAACATATTTTTGAAACCATTGACGTCTCAGAGAATACCAAGTTTTTGGTCCACGCCTCGTATCTTGAGATTTATAATGAAGATATCAGGGATCTACTTGGCAAAAATCACAAAGTAAGACTTATTGGGCAACCCGAGAGTGTGCAAACATTGAATTCACCATTCCAGCTATAGGCTAAATTTTGATCAAGGCAAGAAGAATGAAATCCAACACCACAGCCAGAAAGAGCGTCTTAGAATGAGTAAAACTGCAAAGATTGGTTACTAAATGTTGTAAAATGAAGAAAATATAGCCCTGTGAAGTTCGCAAATTTTGTATACAGTCAATATATATTATTACGCGCGGTAAAAATAACCACTTTCGGCTCAAAAATGGTTATTTTTCCCGCGCGTAATGCAAATATATACAAAATTTGCGAACTTCACAGGGCTATATTTTCCTCATTTTACAACATTTAGCAACCAAAATTTGCAATTTTATTCATTTTAAGATGCTCTTTCCAGCTATAGTAATGGATTTCATTCTCCTTGTCTAGATCAAAATTTCGTCCATTTCATGTAAAGAGATTAACTCAAACGTGTGGGGTTCCATGTAAGATATAGCGAAAGTGGAAACGACGATAAGTTCTGAACTAATTGAAAAATATTTACACTTGGAAGTTTTTGAGGAGGTAGACTTTTTGTTAGGAGTATAATAGCATGAAAGGCCTCATAACCTCCGATTGGTTTTGATAGTATTTTTCAGGTTTTATATCGTCACTGACTACTGAAAACAACATATTCATTGTCTAGAGGGGATTCAAAGTGATATCTTCAAATAGCTCTAGGGCATCGTTCTGTAATCTCTACACGCGTAAAAACGCACAAGTCGTAACAAACCTGCAGCAGACTTGTAGCAATGCTGTTCCAACAACTTGTCAACAGGATGTGTTCGTACTGCTTGTTCCCAGCTTGTTGACAAGTTATCAACGGCTTGTTGACAACTTGCTACAAGGTTGTTGAGCTCAACAGACTTGTTACAAGTTGTTCCAACAACTTGTTATCGTCTTTCAATTCAACAATTTGTCAACAAGTTGTACAAGCTTGCTACAAGCCTGTTGCGAACACATCTTGTTGACAAGTTGTGAGATTTTTACGTGTGTCCCCGTTGAGGTATCGACTCAACGGAGATCAGAAGCGCATTTAATCCAACTTAAAGTGGCTCCCTACAGTTGTCCCTATTTGTCCAACATCTCTACAGTACAGGCCTATTAATGTAGATCGTTTTTTTTTTCTACTTGCCAGCAATATCTAATATCAGTGGAATATTTAGAACTTTGTTTTGACAATTTTTGTTTTGTTTCGATCGTGGCGATTGCGTGGGATAGTTCGCGTACTCGTCCCGCGAACATCCCGCATGCTACTGTAGGGAGCCACCTTAAGTGCGCGCAATATTTTCGTGACTTCCCTTCGTCGGGGAGCTACACGCGTAAAAACGCACAACTTGTTACAAGTCTGTTCACAAGCTGTCAACAAGTTGTGTTCGCACTGCTTGTTCCCAGTTGTAACAAGTTTGGAACAAGCTGTTAACAACTTGTAACAAGCTTGATGGCATTATCAACCTTGTTACAAGACTGTGCTAACAAGTTTGTTACAGCCACGATATAACAAGAATGTTACAAGGTTGTCAACACAAGGTTGTAACAATCTTGTTATATCAAGCATGTAACGGACTTGTCAGAACAACCTTGCAACAAGTCTGATAATTTTTACAAGGTTGTTACAAGTTGTCAACAAGTTGTTCCAAACCTGTTGACAACTTGTGACAAGCAGTGCGAATACAGTAGTGTTTCACAGATGAAAAGTCCGAACGCACTTCGCGGTAGTTATAATTTATTTTACTCGTTATAGTTATATATTTATTATATAATTATCTTACTTTTTTTTCTCTTCCAATGCCATCAGTCTCGTCTTGAACTGAAGGAACATCCCGATATGGGAGTGTACGTGAAAGATCTCACCATGATTCCAGTTCACGACGTCAAGGACTGCGAGAAAGTCATGGGAATGGGGAACAAAAATCGCTCGGTATGATTTTGTACGACATCTTTATTAATACACGAAATATCTATCAGTTGTAAACTGTTCTTCCTAGAGGTCCGGTAAGGATCATCTCTTATTGATCCAGTGTTACTACAGGAGGAAACCTAAACTAAACTAACTTAATTTATACTGGATAACTCTATCAGTTCTAAACTGTTCTCCCTAGAGATCCAGTAAGGATCATCTCTTATTGATGCAGTATTACTACAGGAGGAAACCTAAACTAAACTAACTTAATTTACACTGAATAGCTCTATCGGTTCTAAACTGTTCTCGCTAGAGGTCCAGTAAGGATCATCTCTTATTGATCCAGTGTTACTACAGGAGGTAACCTAAACTAAACTAACTTCAGTTACACTGGATAGCTTTATCAGTTCTAAACTGTTCTCCCTAGAGGTCCAGTAGGAGTTATCTCTTATTGATCTAGTGTTACTACAGGAGGAAACCTAAACTAAACTAACTTTGTTTATACTGGATAGCTCTGGTCATAGTTTTGAAAGATGCTGTCAAAGTTAGTAACCACTATGCCATCAACATACCTTTCATTTTTATTCTCCAGGTTGGATCTACACTCATGAACGCAGATTCTTCTCGCTCGCACTCCATATTCACCATCAAACTCGAGATGGAGGATACGGATTCGAATGGCGAGGAACACATCAGAGCGGGAAAATTGAATCTCGTTGATTTGGCGGGGAGCGAGAGGCAAGCGAAGACTGGGGCGAGTGGAGATAGACTAAAGGAAGCTACGAAGATTAATTTGTCATTGTCTGCGCTTGGGAATGTGATCTCAGCGCTCGTTGATGGAAAGTCGAAGCATATACCGTATCGAGATTCCAAACTTACTCGGTTACTACAGGTATGGTACGCGAATGAATATGAATACAGTACTTAGACCTATACACGACCGCAAAATCAGCACAGAAAAATGATCATGTCGCTGAGTGTTTAATTTTCCCGCGCTTTTTGTTTTGCTTTATTTCGACTTATTTGTTGCGAAATAATGCTGAAATTGTAAACTTCATCACAAAATTAGCAATATTCCGAAGTTTCGTTGCGAAATGTTGTAAAATGCGGATAATATAGCCCCGCGAAGTTTACCGTTTTTCAGTCATTTTGTATTACGCACGGGAAATTGGTACCGCGCTTTCTGAAAAAAGGTATCAATTTCCCGCGCGTAATACAAAATGACTGAAAAACGGCAAACATCGCAGGGCTATATTATCCGCATTTTACAATATTTCGCAACGAAACTTCGGAATATTACTAATTTTGTGATGCTCTTTCAAGCTGTGATGAAATGTTTGTCTAGACTTGTTTAGATCAAAATTTTGTTCATTATAGAGAATAGGTCCATTATACTTGAATTATATAGCATCTCTCCGTTGCAATGATTTCTGTGAAAATAACGTTCCTAAAAGGTTCGGATAGATACAATTGTAGTTTTTCACGTCGCTTCATACAGAAAAACAAAACAGGTGTTTGTTCACGTCGCTATACAGAAAGCTATCGGGTACAGGCAGTGTAAACGTATATATCCTATATTCGCTCCCTTTCCCAAAATATTTCGCAAATTGTCCGTCATTTACAAGTGTTCATTTCTTCTTTGTAGGATTCTCTCGGTGGTAACACAAAGACACTAATGGTAGCTTGTCTCAGTCCCGCTGACAACAACTATGACGAGACGTTGAGCACGTTACGTTATGCCAACCGAGCGAAGAACATCAAGAACAAGCCGAAGATTAACGAAGATCCGAAGGACGCGTTGTTACGAGAATATAAAGCCGAAATTGAAAAACTCAAAGAAATGTTGATGGGACAAACACAGATGCCGATGGAGATACTACAAAATGGGACTAGTGAGTTGATAATTTGTTATCGTTAGAACCTATGGTTGCCTCGTGTTTTACATATGATATATGTAAAGCACTCACACCCTTGCTTTAAAGACCATAATGTAAACAAACGTAAAGTCCGTAATGTAAACAAACGCTTTGTTTATATTTTGAACTCAGTGCTACAGTTGTAAAATACGATTAGATATATATTAAACTGAATTTTTAACACTCTTCTGGTTCGCTATGCTTGTAAATGAGTACAGACTAGAGATTCAATTCAAGAAAGTTCAAAAGATACGAAATATTAATAACATTCCAACGGTCGGGTCCCGACCATTGTAATGTAAGCCTGCGCAGAACGGACTTTACATGGTCTTTAAATAGTACTTGAGATATTCTCTTTATCAAAGGTAATGCAGCCATAGCTCCAGTCCAAAGCCAATCTGTAGTCGATATCAGGGCGCAAGAAAAACTGGCTGAGGAATCTGCTCGGATTAAAAATGAATACGAAGACAAACTGGCCGAGATGAAGAGATTGTTTGAAGAGGAACAGTCGAGTAAGGAGCATTTGAAAGACGAGATGAAGCGATTGAAGGCAGAATATGATCAAAAACTGACTTCAGTTGAGAGCCAATACCCGGCTCCTGTGAACTTGGTGAGTTGACTCTATCGTCATTGGTCTTCCTAGAGGTCCAGTAAGGATCATCTCTTATTGATCCAGTGTTACTATAGGAGGAAACCTAAACTAAACTAACTTTATTTATACTGGATAGCTCTATCAGTTCTAAACTGGTCTTCCTAGAGGTCCAGTAAGGATCATCTCTTATTGATCCAGTGTTACTATAGGAGGAAACCTAAACTAAACTAACTTTATTTATACTGGATAGCTCTATC